TTTTTTTTTTTTTTTTTTTTTTTCCTGGGCTTTTTTGAGTTTGGGCAAGGACACAGGGGCTCCTTGATCCCCTATTGCCTCGGGGCCCCATGAGTTGTCAGTCCGCCCCTGCTATCACCTGCTCTGTGCTGGAGGTGAGAGCGGGGCTGTCCCCTGAAATTCTGTGCTGTCCCCATGCCTGTCAAGAGTGACTTGTGAAGATAGCAAACGGAAGAGAGGAGAGAGAAATTACACTAGGTGCTTTGGGTTGAAGCAAGTACACCTAATAGCATAATATGCTTTGTTCATTTTCCATTTTAGAGGTTTATAAGCACTTTAAACCTTAAGTTAGTTTCTTATAGTTTGGTTTTTTTTTCAACTAATTCTTTCCAATCTTTGTTAAACAACATTTAATACAGGGAAAAGGATTCCGAGAACACCATGGGTTAGCTAAAAAGACAGCACAGCACACACTGCTTGTTTTAAGACTTTGTCGGATATAAACTTTGAACTGATCTGCCTGATCTAGATATATTGCTTTTCATTCTGTTTTGGGGCCTATTCACATGGGTGCAAATATGCGTCTCCCATGCAGGGCTGTCTTTGTCCAGCATGGGGATGCACAGCTGTTGTGTGCATCCCCGTGCCAGCATCCTATTAGTTTCAATTGGGACGTGGGTCTGCATGGGTATAGCTGCTGTGTCCTAATATAACATGCAGGCGGATGTGGATTCCTAGGCGCACACAGGGTGCGTTCCCACACCCACATGCTATATTAGCACAGCCATGTGCCACAATAGAAATTAAACTATAAAATATACAGGCATGCAGTTATTGTACAGATAATTAGAAGTTTCAGGTTATTCTCCCTGTATGGTAGGTATTAAGGCTGCAAATGGCATCAATTTCCCCTCATTTGAATTGTAGATTCTTCTTCATAATTCATGGGTCTCCATACTTTTCTAAACATAGGACCAGTTTACTGCCCTGCCAAACTTTAGTGGGGCCGGAATGTGGCCAGTGGGAGTAGAAATGCCTTGGTGTCAGTGGGAGTAAATTGTGTCCCCTCTTTCGTAGTAGGGGGAGGAATAGTTTCCCATGGTTGGTGTCAATGGGAGGAATAGTGCCCTATCTGTGTCAATGGGAGGAATAGTTTCCCCATCTTTATTGGTGGGGTGGGTGGGGGGAAATAATGACCAATCATTGGTGTCAGTATGAGGAATAGTGCCCCATCTGTGTCAATGGAAGGAATAGTGCCCCATCTTTAGTATTGGGGTGGGGTGGTTGGGGGCAATAATGACCAATCATTGGTGTCAGTGAGAGGAATAGTACACCATCTGTGTCAATGGGAGGAATAGTGCCCCATCTTTAGTATAGGGGGGTGACACCAATCATTGGTGTCAGTGGGAGGAATAGTGCCCCATTGTTGGTGTCAGTGGGAGGAATAGTGCCCCATTGTTGGTGTCAGTGGGAGGAATAGTGCCCCATTGTTGGTGTCAGTGGGAAGTATAGTGCCTCATTGTTGGTGTCAGTGGGAAGTATAGTGCCTCATTGTTGGTGTCAGTGGGAATTATAGTGCCTCATTGTCAGTATCAGGAACTATGTCCCACTGTTGCTGACAGTGGGGGGAATAAAAGCAAGCAAACGGCCACATCCAGCCCCCGGGCCACAGTTTGGAGACCACTGTCATGCATGGTTTGTCAGATGTCAATGTAATTGCCAATTGCGCATTACACCGTGGAGAGGGGCATACACAGCAGTTATGTATTCTAGTAAATGGTCAAGATCAGTGGTCTCCAAACTGCAGCCCAGGGGCCGGATGTGGCCCTTTGTTTACCTTTATCCAGCCCCTTTCCTCCCACTGATGCAAGGCACTATTCCTTACACTGCCATCAACAATGGGACACTATTCCTTCCACTGACACTGACAATTGGGTACTATTCCTTCCACTGACACCGACAATTGGGTACTATTCCTTCCACTGACACCAACTAGAGGGCACTATTCATTCCACTGCCATCTACAATGGGATGCTATTCCTGTTACTGACTTCAACAATGGGGCACTATTCCTTCTATTCCTTCCACTGACACCAACTACAGGGCACTATTCCTTCCAGTGGCGCCAACTAGAGGGCACTATTCCTTCCACTGACACCAACAATGGGACACTATTGCTTCCACTGACACCAACAATGGGGCTCTATTCCTTCCACTGACACCAACAATGGGCACTATTCCACTGACAGGCCACAAGGTGGCACCACCACACTCACTATCTATATTTAGAGGGCAGGCTGCGGAGTGCATACCAAACAGAGGATGGCTCGGTGCGGGTTCAGGGAGACACAGTTTACTAGTCTGTAGTAGAGCGTACACACAACAAAGGCTTTTTTCTTTTTTTTTAATCCGGCACAAAGCATTATTCTGCAGGATTTTTTTTTTTATTTCAATCTTGAAAGGACAAGGGCTGTGAAATGAAGTCATATATTATTTAACGCATTCCATATGATTAATATACATATTTATGTATATGTAGGTGATTTGTTTTTTTTTTAATCTCAGAAATGAGACTAGATTATTATGCCTAGTTTAGCTTCGCTTTATGTTAATGTGGGCTGAAACTGGGAATCCTAGTTGTGAAAGGATGGTTGCCTTCATCACCCTCCTCAGCAGCTCTGTATACACAATACTTCTCTAGGACAATCCATGAGTCCCGTTTCTGCTGCACACCGCTGTCCTGTTCACCGAGCTGCCATCCCCGGCTTATCTCACGTTTTATGTCTGTGAGGCCCCTCCTCTTGTAGGGTTATTATGGCCATATGCGCTTTGATAAACGATCAGTTTAATGTTCTATTGATTTCTCCTGATAAGAATAATCCATCTATAGCCGGCAACACATTCGATTGATGTGACAAACACAGGGAAGTGAATTCTGATCAATAGAGGATATGGTTGTGAGTTAGTGATTGCACCTCCGTTTTCCCCCCCATGCATTCTCCAAATCCCATCAATCAAAAGCGGCTGATTAGTGATTAGCACTTTTGTCTGGCAGCACTAGGGTCGTGGGTTTGAATCCCAACCATAGCAGTACCTGCATGGAGTTTACATATTGTCCCTGTGCCTGTATAGGTTTCCTCCGGGTACTCTGGTTCCCTCCCACACGTCAAAGACATGCTGGTGGTTTACATGGATCCTGTCTAAATTGTCCCTAGTATGTGTATGTATGAATGTGAGTTAGGGACCTTAGATTGCAAGCTCCTTTGGGGCAGGGACTACTGTGAACATACACTATATATATATATATATATATATATATATATATATATGTATATATATATATATATATGTATGTATATATATATGTGTGTGTGTGTGTGTATATGTATGTGTGTGTGTGTATATATGTGTATATATGTGTATGTGTGTGTGTGTGTGTGTGTGTGTGTATATGTGTATATGTGTATGTGTGTGTGTATGTATATATATATATATATATATATATATATATATATATATATATATATATGTGTGTGTGTGTGTGTGTGTGTGTGTGTGTGTGTGTGTGTATATATATATATATATATATATATATATATATATATATATAATCTGCGTAAATTGTCGGTGCTATATAAGTACCTGTAATAAATAAATTCATGAGCTAAACATATCAGTGCTGATCGATGCAACACAATAATCTCAGTTTGATCTAATCCAATCTAAATTGTTCGTAAGGGACGTTATGGCTAATTAGTTGATTGCCAATTCAATTGTTTTGAATTGCACATCCATTTGCTAATAAAATCTAAACGTGTGGCCACCATTGCAGATAGACAGGCTGGATTCAGACTCAGTAACGCTAGCTTTAGCCCCCTATTAATAAGCCTTATGGGTGGGGTGAAACGCGTTGAGCGTCCATTGGGAGGAGTCCGGCTGAAGCTGCTTTCACTTTCCCTACACGAGGGCTGTTCTTTTGTTAGTGCGGCGTTCTATCCTTCCCCCTTATGTGTGTATACAGAGCCAGGATGGTCTCTGTCAACGCCAGTACCCTTACTCCATGCAGGTTATCAGAGCATTCTAGGATGATGGCTTGGATTGGCACCTGAAGTCTATATGGTTTTTGAGCAGATCATCCCTAAATTTATATACTTTTTCTCCAAAAATAATCCATACACATCCACTACTTAGTGGCCCTGTAATCCTATTTTTCAAAAAATAGTTTTACTATGTTTTTCTGCCTCCGTAGGGCTAGCTTTAGCCCCCTATAACTAAGCCTTATGGGTGGGGTGAAACGCGTTGAAAAGCATCCTCTGGGAGGAGTCAGGCTGAAGCTTCTTTCACTTTCCCTACACGTAGGCTGTTCTTTTGTCAGTACGGCGTTCTATCCTTTCCCCTTACGTGTGTGTACAGAGCCGGGATGGTGTCTGTCAACTACGCCACCCATACTCCATGCGGAGCATTCTAGGATGATTGCTTGGATCGGCACCTGAAGTCTATATGGTTTTTGAGCAGAGCATAGGGACACTAAATTATATATTTTTTTTTCGCCAAACATAATCCATACACATCCACTACTTAATGACCCTGTAATCTATTTTTCATAAAATTGTTTTACTGCGTTTTTCTGCCTCCTTGTAAGCGTTCATGAACACTATAAATCCCATAGTCCATCTTGGGGAGCAAGGAAAACGGGTGGCTGGGCTGTGTTCCTACATACAGTGGGACTATGGAGAATAAACGGAGCCACCTTCTAATGGGAAGTCAGACCACAGCAGTGAAAAAAAAAAAACGAATTTGAAGGAGGCTAAGAGCAATAGAAGGGTCTTTTTTGAGTTAATATATACTTAAATATAAATCATTTTTTTTTTGTAATCAAAGTTTGTCATTTTAAAGTGCTGTAAGTCACTTGGAGAAATGAGATGAAGTGGTGTTGGCCATGTCCAAGTTCAGGAAGGTTCTAGAAGGGAATGGCCTTTCCAGATATCTCTGTTGTCTACCATTGTCTTGTTCTTCTGCAGGTATCTTGTTTACTGGAGAATTATGGGAGTTCCTGAGCTTCACAGAGCGTTATCCCTATATCATCTACAACATTCTGCTCTTCAGCCTGACAAGCGCCCTGGGCCAGGTAAAATAAATGACGGCAAGGCTTCATATTTCATGAATTACAAATGATGTTTCCATCTCTGTCTGATTTGGGGTCAGATTTGTCTCTTCAGTCTGTATCGGGGCAGAACAAAGCCCAGGCATCTGGTTTCTGATACAACTTACAACTGTCACCTAACTCTCTTTATTGCGAACGTTTGTCCCCTTTTGTTTTGTCTTGTTGCCCTTTGTTAAAGGAGCTTACACAATGCTCACAGTTTCCATTCCCATTCCCATCCCCTGATTATTGCTGCAGGTAGAAAATCTGGCCATGATTGCTTCCTTGGAAAGGCTTTTTTTGTGCTCTATAGCAGTGTTTCTCAACCTTTTTTTCAGTCAAGGTACCCTTTAAAATTATGGACCGTCTTGAGGCACCCCTTAAAATTATGGACAGTCTTGAGGCAACCTTTAAAATTATGGATAGTCTTGAGGAATCCTTTAAAATTATGGACAGTCCCGAGGCACCCTTTAAAATTATGGACAGTCTTGAGGCACCCTTTAAAATTATGGACAGACCCGAGGCACCCTTTAAAATTATCGACAGACCCGAGACACTCTTTAAAATTATGGACAGACCCGAGGCACCCTTTAAAATTATGGACAGACCCGAGGCACCCTTTAAAATTATGGACAGACCCGAGGCACCCTTTAAAATTATGGACAGACCCGAGGCACCCTTTAAAATTATGGACAGACCCGAGGCACCCCATTCTGAAATGTGAAAAACTATTCTAATAGATTTATATAACGCAGCAACATCCCCACATGTAGGACACCCAACATTGGAGGTGATTTATATTTCCCAAGCAAATACACTTTTTCACACTGGTACTGGTAGTATGCCATTGTTTCTCTTTTCCTTCAGTTTTTCTCCATCACTGAGCTAATGTGGCCCCAGCACTGATGGAGAGGGGCATGGGAGAGTCAAACTAGGATTGACATCCTCCTTATCAACTGATGATGTCATTGGTTCTCAGGACACCGGTGGCTAGAAGGTCATAATGGTTCACAATGAAAACCTGTGGCTTTGTGGAACTAAAAGGCAGGCTTGTTCCACCCACTGGCTTGTATACAAGTTTTGGGAAATTTCTAGACATTTCGCCAAGGCACCCCAGGGTGCCTGGGCACCCTGGTTGAGAAAGGCTGCTCTATAGGGATAAGTGAAGAAAATGGAAGCAAGTCTAAAGATGGGTATTTTAGCATGGGGCTACATTGAGGCATGTATTTAACCTCCTGCCGTCCACGTAATGAATATGTATGGTGGCAAAACTAGTAGGCTCTTACGCCCACACGCCGCACATATGTGTTTATGGGCAACGGAGGTTTCTGTGCTGAGCATGTTCTCTGCGTACTGCCAGCACAGCGACTGAGCTTTCGACCTGTATTAATGATGCGGATCTGGTGGGACCAGCTCCTGATAATGCGACCACTGTGACATCTAATCATTGTGGTCACATGACTAGGCAGACCTTTCCTGATCCCTGGGCATGCAATCCCAGTTAAAGGGACACTATCACTTTAAATATAACAAAAGGCAAAACCCTTTGTTTTTTCTTGTTTTTGCTTTTTTAAAGAAGTATGGTCAAAGCTCTTTTGACCATACTTCTCCTGTGGGTCACGGCGTGCACTTAGTTTTGCTCTTCTGTGACCCAGATTCAGCTGTCATTGGGCTAAAGCCCTCCGTCAGCTAACGTCACAGAGCCAGTCCAGGCATTGCATGCAGGGATCCTGACAATAATGTTGAGATCCACCCAGATGCTTTACAAGCAGCTGGCTCAGCCTCTCCACACAGCGCTGGGGTACTGAGCCAGCCACTCTGTCCCTAAACAGCCCAGTGCTACAGCGAGCGCTGGAGGGACACAGCAGAGAGCCGGTGACTGACAGTCTCCACTCTGTGCTCAGAACAGGCCCGAGAACTGAGCAATCAGCGGTCTTTGATTGCTCAGTTCTTCGTGCAGAGAAGGCAGGGGACAGATGTATTATCAGATCAATGCCTCATCTACCTATGTAGAATGTTTATTTTTTAAATCCCCCATTTCCCTTTTTAAATAAAAAAAAAACAAAACAAAACCCCATCAGTCTTTATTGCTGTCTGTTCCCCCATTAGGGATATTCACTCTCTCTATTTGCCATTATCATTGAAATTGAAAAAAATAAATAAATAAATAAATCCCAAATCTCAGGTAGAAGTGTTTGGGAACACTTCTGCAGAAACCCTGGGATTCCCTCACTTTGGAGAGCTTTCCTGCTTTGGCTAGGAGACAGGAAGTGAATGAAAATCTCCCCAATGGGACACAGATGGCTAAAATAAATGCTATCCAAAATGAAAAAAAAAAAAAAAAAAAAAAAAAAAAAAACAAAACGTTTGCCTTTAGTTACACTTTAGAGTGGAATTACCCTTTGGGGCTTATTCTCACTATAATTCTGCATTCACACTGGAACTCCTTCATTTAACTCCTCTAATTGCAAGAGAAGTGATCCAGGAAGTATGCTGCCCAGATCACTCTTTCCTGCGTTTAGATGTTCCTCATTTATGGCGTTTACATGCGTTTAGAGATTCTGATCAGATCCTGGGCGCACTGGTTTCCATTTTCTCTAAATGCAGCTAAACCGGCCGCACCTAAACCCAGGTAAATGCACAGGCATAGCTGTACTAAAACTGCAGCACTCAGAATCTGCTGCAGCTACGCATGCTAACCAATCCGCTTCTAGCTTCATCTTGTTCAATTATGTTTTGGCAATAAAACCTGGAAGCTGATTGGTTATGCAGAGCTACACCAGATTTTGCACTCTCCGGTTTTAGTAAATAAACCTCACGGTGTGAAGGGCAAAATTGAAAACTCATTACAAGCATTTGTATCTACTCAGAAATGTCATCTAAATGCATATACATGCAGAGCCATGTGAATTAAAATGCAACATGCAAGACCTTTTCTGAATATGCTGGAAAATGTCCACAGGAAAGCAATAGATTTTTTTGTTTGTACAGACAGACAGTGAAAATAAACTCTTATATCCACCTCAATGGCCCTGCGGTGAAGTCCCCCCACTGTTCCCATCTCTCTGCTGCCCCTGCTGCTTCCATTATTGCTGCATTAGAAGATTTGCTGCTGATGTTCCTATACACATCTAAAAAGCCCAGTGGCAGGTTCTATGGTGGAAGAATATGTACGGACCAGTGCTGTAAATTATGAGTTCATAGGTGGTCACCCGCAACTACGATACTAGTTAGGGATGAAGCTTCCCAGCAAAATCAATAATTGAGTTTAACCACTTCAAGTCCGGGCACTTTCAATATATAGAGAGAGAGAGAGAGAGATCTATAGATAGAGAGAGAGAGAGAGAGATCTATATATATAGAGAGATATATATATATATATATATAGAGAGAGAGAGAGATCTATATAGAGAGAGAGATCTATATATAAGATAGAGAGAGAGAGAGAGAGAGAGATCTATATATATATATATAGAGAGAGAGAGAGAGATCTATAGAGAGAGAGAGAGAGAGAGAGAGAGAGAGAGAGAGATCGATCTATATATAGAGATATATATATATATAGAGAGAGAGAGATCTATAGAGAGAGAGAGAGAGAGAGAGAGAGAGAGAGAGAGAGAGAGAGAGAGAGACTGCATGTTGAAATGTGTTTTGTGTTTTTATTACAACATATATATTTTTAAAAATACTTTTCAAATATACTGTATGTCTTTTAAAATACAAATCTACATTTTTAGAATGCATTTACAAATATATATAAAAATATAAGTTACAGCGGAGTTCCACTCACGCTGTCAAAAAATAAAAGCAACTACAAAAACTGTAGATGCTGACTTTTAAAAAAACAGCCACTTACCTGTCACTTGGTCCCGTGGTGTGTCCCCCGCAGCCCGTTTCACCGGCCGTCCTGTATTCCAGGAGGCCGGCATCTTCAGTGTGGGCACCCGGATGTGACAGCTTGCGGCTTCACAGCCGGGTACCCACTGCGCATGCGCGAGTAGCGCTGAGCTTCATGAATGGTCCTGTAGTCTTCTGGGACCTGTCACGTGGGAGGGAGGCCAAGGCGATCGGACCGGAAGTGGGAGCGGGTACCTGTCAAATTCAGGTACCCACTCCACCCCCAAAAGGTGCCAATCCTTAATGGGGAGTGGGGGAGCAGTCCTTACAGCGGAACTTCCCCTTTTGGGTGGAGCTCCCCTTTAAAATGACTGCTAAAAAAAAAAAAATCTGAAGAATATATTTTAAAAATATATATTTTTTTAAATTTATTCTTCAGATTTTTTTTATATATAAAAAAAGTCATATTAACATATTCTTACATATATTTGTAAATGCATTCCAAAAATGTAGATTTGTAGTTTTAACCACTTCCTGTCCGGACACTTTCACCCCCTTCCTGTCCAGGCCCATTTTCAGCTTTCAGTGCTTTCACATTTGAATGACAGTTGCGCGGTCATGCAACACTGTACCCATATGAATTTTTTTTAGCATTTTTTTTTTTTTTTAGACAGATAAAACTTTATTTTGGTGGTATTTATTCTTGACTGGGATTTTTATTTTTTTGCTATATAAATGAAAAAGTCCAAACATTTTGAAAAAAAGGTTTTTCTTATAAAATTTTGCAAATAAACTTTCTTCATAAATCTTGGCCAAAATGTATTCATCTATCTTTTTAGTAAAAAAAAAAAAATAACCCAAATTAGTTTTATAACCAAAAATTTATATTTTTTTCAAAAAAAGTTTTACATGTTTATTTTTTTTTTTTTTATATTATTTGTTTTTTTTGTTTTAACATACTGTCACCCTAGCAGTACAGTGTCACCATAGTGACACTGTACTGCTTGTGGGGGTGATAAAAGATTTTGTTTTATTATTTATTTTATTTATTTCAGGTACTTATATAGCGCCATCAATTTACGCAGCGCTTTACATATATTTTGTACATTCACATCAGTCCCTAACCCTCAAGGGGCGTACAATCTAAGGTCCCTAACTTACATTCATACTTAGAAATACTAGGGGCAATTTAGACAGGAGCCAATTAACCTACCAGCATGTCTTTGGAGAGTGGGAGGAAACCGGAGCACCCGGAGGAAACCCACGCAGGCACAGGGAGAACATGCAAACTCCAGGCAGGTGGTGCTGTGGTTGGGATTTGAACCAGCGACCCGAGTACTGCCAGGCGGAAGTGCTAACCATTTAGCCACTTTTTTTACACTGATTGCTGTTACACCCATAAAGGCTGTAAAAGCAATCATTTCTCCTTCTCTCTGGCTGAATTCTTTCAGCCATTGAGCAGTACTGTGTGAGCTGTGATTGGTCACAGCTTGTCACATGGTACAAGGCTGTTGTGAATGGCCTTGTACCATGTGACCTCTGTGATCATTCACAGATTTCACACATAGTAAGCAATGATGTCAGGAAGTGATATCTTGCTTACTACTGTTCCTGTGATCACTGATTGGCCAATCAGTGATCGCATGAATCGGGACCTCACACAGAGGTCCCGTTCAACGATCGGTGTCCGGAGGACACATCGGTCATCGGATTGCTCCCAGGGAGCGTGCACAGGCAGTGAATGCGGATGCCATTTACAAACGGCCACCCACCACCCACTCCTGCACTTCTCCCGTCTGGCCGTTTATGTACATGGGCCGGACGGGAAGTGGTTAAAGCAATGCCAATGCAGGGAACAGAGACATGTTCTCTTAAATGCTGTACTCCCCAGCAGCATATAGTCATTTTTTTTTTCCTTGGTTCCCCACTGGTCTGTTCAGTATTAAAGAAGATGCTCAGTACGTCCAGGTATGGTGGAGCATGTGATAGAGCTGGTGCTTAGTGATTGGACAGCACTGTCACATGGGGATCGGTAGACCGTTCCCAGGGCTATGTAAGCTGTTTTTGTTTCGGGGGAATAATATATTATTAATGGATATTTTTCCTCCTGTGTTACAATAGGCAAAGTTCCTCGGGGCATGTACAAACTTTTTTTCCCCCCTCTATGCCAGGAGTTAGAGAGATACAATGTATCTCTCTCCATTCATAGAGAGAAGAAAACTCAAGGGGGGCGGGCTGTACAGTGACTGATCACTGTGATAGCCATTCAGAGGCTATCACTGTGATCATGTGACTCAGTATCGGGAGTCTCGGATCCTGACCGTTAGAACGGGGACCCGGAGCTCTCAGTGGCACCACGGTCTTTGTGCTGGCAGTGCTCCCAGCAGAAAGACGGGTACGCAAATATGCGGCCCCCACGGAAAAAAGCCCAGTTCTGTGAGGCCGCATATTTGTGTGACGTCGGCGGCAAGGGGTTAAAGTTTCTCGGGTGTGGATTTGCTTTATAATGGGCCAAAATTTCAGGATCTGTGAGAGGTTGAACTTGATGGGCATCAAACTTTTTTTTTATTTTTTTTTTTTTCCCCCGTGTTAGTAATATTTTATTTCACAGTCCTGGAAATCTAAATTGTGACTTTTCTTTCCATTTCAGACCTTCATATTTATGACCGTGGTGTACTTTGGTCCCCTGACATGTTCCATTATCACAACCACCCGGAAGTTCTTCACCATCTTGGCTTCGGTACTCATATTCTCCAATCCCATCAGTAGCTTACAGTGGGTCGGGACGTTCCTGGTGTTTTTGGGTGAGCATGTTGAACCTCCATCTTTATCCACTTCTTTGTTTTTTGGAAAACAGAGATTTAGTTGTTTCCCCATAAGTTCCTCAGTACTGATACTTTTCCCAGCCATTCAGTCTTGAGATCAATCACCCCCCCCCCCCTTTATTCTCACTGTGCTGAATGGGATACTGAAATGAGCAGTTTGGTTGCCTTGTTGCTTAACAGGGTTCTGGGGGTGAGCATGATCCTTTCAAAGTGTTACTGAACCCACAACTGTGAAATCAGTCTGTATATGCAGCAAAGCATGCTTGCTTTACTCACTATGGAACGTAAGGGGTTAATCCTCTGCATTGTGTAAAAAGGATGTTTGATCCTGTCTTCCCTGATCCTCCCCTTCTTCCACTTACCCCATTTCATCTCCTGATAGACCAGAGCCTCAGGGACACTCTGCACATGCTCAGTTTGGTGTGTACTGCTAGAGAGTTTTTGGGGGTTTTTTTTGGGAGGGTGCATGTGATCAGTAAAAGGCCAATCGGCACTGTCCAGACAGAGGGTAAGGGGTTATGCAATCCCATGGCAGTGAGAGGAGAATGAAAACTCCCCCTACAAGCTTTAATCAGTGCCCAACTGGACACTGATAGAAGTCACAAGACTGCTCTAACTGCTGATGAGAAAAGGTATTTTGCAGTTTGTTTACTAAAATAATTGCATTTCCATGTAGTGTGTACTGTGGAAGACCAGATATAGTGAATGCAGGGTTCAGGGAGACCAGATATAGTGTATGCGGGGTCCGGGGAGACCAGATATAGTGAATGCGGGGTCCGGGGAGACCAGATATAGTGAATGCGGGGTCCGGGGAGACCAGATATAGTGAATGCAGGGTCCGGGGAGACCAGGATATAGTGAATGCAGGGTCCGGGGACCGAATGCCCGGGGATATAGTGTATGCGGGGTCCGGGGAGACCAGAGGGAGACCAGATATAGTGTATAGTATAGTGTATGCGGGGTCCGGGGAGACCAGGGAATGCGGGGTCCGGGGGGAGACCAGATATAGTGAATGCGGGGGGTCCGGGGGAGGGTGCGGGGGTCCGGGGGAGACCAGATATAGTAATGCAGGGTGGGGGAGATATAGTGAATGCAGGGTCCTGGGAGACTGGATATAGTGAATGCAGGGTCCTCCAGGGTCCGGGGAGACCGGATATAGTGAATGCAGGGTCCAGGGGAGACCGGATGTGAATGCAGGGTCCGGGGAGACCGATATAGTGAATGCAGGGTCCGGGGAGACCGGATTATAGTGAATGCAGGGTCAATATATAGTGAATGCAGGGTCCGGGGAGACCGGATAGAGTGATGCAGGGTCCGGGGATAGTGAATGCAGGGGTCCGGGAGCAGGGTCCGGGGGAGAGCTGGATATAGTGAATGCAGGGTCCGGGGAGGGTGAATGCAGGGTCCGGGGAGACCGGATATAGTGAATGCAGGGTCCGGGGGAGACGGGAATGCAGGGTCCAGGGAGACCGGATATAGTGAATGCAGGGTCCGGGGAGACCGGATATAGTGAATGCAGGGTCCGGGGAGACCGGATATAGTGAATGCAGGGTCCGGGGAGAGACCGGATAGAGTGAATGCAGGGTCCGGGGAGACCGGATAGACCGGATAGAGTGAATGCAGGGTCCGGACCGGATAGAGTGAATGCAGGGTCGACCGGATAGAATGCGGGGTCCGGGGAGACCAGATATAGAATGCGGGGTCCGGGCTTTAGTAACACTTTAAAGCTGAATTCCAGGTATGGATATTTTATACATAGTTACATTGGTCCAGGCTGGACCAATGTAACTATGTATATGCCATACCTGGCCGATGCCCCTCAAAGCTGAAAATCACCGAAATAGAGACTGCTACTACAGTGATCTCCACTTGTTTCCAGGTTCCATACTGAGCAGCTGGCCTCCTGCATTCTGAGCACAAGAAGCCAGCAACATTTCCTCAATGAATGCAAAGTGTTCTCTGATTGGATGAGGTAGAGAGGTGGGGCAGTGACATTGGGGGATTGTGGGATTTCAAAATAATAAACATACTCACCTGGATGCGTGCAGCATCGGTCCCCCCACCACCTCTAAGACTGAGAACTGAGCAATCAAAGACCACTGATTGCTCAGTTCTCCGGTCCGCTCTGAGCAGAGAGCAGTGACTGGCAGTCACCGCACTCTGTTCTGCCTTTCCAGCACTCACTGGACTGTTGAGTGGACAGGGGTAGCTGGACTCAGGTTGTCAGCGGCGTACTGGCATCAGAGTAGATCCCAGCATTAAAGTCAGGATCCTTCCAGAGTATGGAACAGCGGAGTGACTTCAGCCAACAGCAGACTTTAGCCCGCTGTCAGCTGAATCTGGGTTGCAGGAGCGCAGAGCTAAGTGCATTCCTCTGACCACAGGAGAAGTAGGAACAAAAGACCTTTGGCTATACTACTTTAAAGCAGATCTAAAGTCTGGAATACTTCCCAGCAGCAGTCCAACATCCGCAAAGTCCATAGTTGGCGACATCATCCTTTCCCTGGCTTCCCCCTGGTGTTCAGGTTTTTGGCTGCCTTGAATGGGCAGCAGGGGATGGCATAATTCTCTTGCATGTAGTGGCGTTCAGTCACCCAGGCACTAAGCCGGTAATGCAGCTCAGTGTACAATCTACAGAATGCTCGAGCGAGCATGTACAGCATGCTGCGAGCGGGCAGGTACAGCATGCTGCGAGCGGGCAGTACAGCATGCTGCGAGCGGGCAGGTACAGATGCTGCGAGCGGGCAGGTACAGCATGCTGCGAGCGGGCAGGTACATTGTATTTTATTACAGAAGAGACATTGCATGGCTCTTCTGGGATAATTGGTCTGCGTGTGCGTAGGCCTTTTTTTTTTGATTTTGACTTTAGATCCCCTTCAATACACACAGGGACACCAAGCAGCTTTTACAAATATAATCCTCTTAGAGCGCCATCCTGACAGGCCCATGCGAGTGTAAACATTGCCTTGTTTACATTCATCCTGTCTGCATCTCCATTTTTCTATGACAACTGATGCCGTTACCTGTAACAACCAATCAGCTTTGATCTTTATTTTTTGAACACGACTTTGAAAATCAAAAAAGTAGATGGCTGCACTCCGGGTGTGACAAAGTTTGTCTCAGACGCTTTTGATTCAATCCCCCCCATGCCTTTAGGGCAATGGGCAAATAACAGGCAGGTAAATATTTTTTCACATTCTAAACAGTGGAATTGCCCTTTGCCGTAGGAAGAATGACCATGTGCTCACATAATTGCCTTGTTGCTAAGTGATTGGAATAGGGGGGATTAAGTAATGTGTTGCCAGTCGGACTTGGCAGTCACCCTGCGACAATGAGCCATAGTCATGTACTCATAGTATGTGACTGTATAACTCACGTGTTATGCCCACTCTCTTCCTGTCATACTCACCGCATTGCGTTTTTGTTTTTCCCGCAGGTCTAGGACTGGATGCCAAATTTGGCAAAGGATCCAAAAAGCCGTCCCACTGA